ACATGGTGAAACCCTGTCTCTATTAAAAAGACAAAAATTAGCTCCATGTGCTGGCAGGCACCTGTAATCCCAGCTACTTGGGAGGCTGAGGCAGGAGAATCCCTTGAACCCAGGAGGCGGAGGTTGCAGTGAGCCGAGATCACGCCATTGCACTCTAGCCTGGGCGACAGAGCAAGAAACTCCTTCTCAAAAACAAAAAAAAACAAACAGAAATTTACACAGTCAAAGGGGTCAGGCCCAGTGGCTCATGTTTGGTAATCACAGCATTTTGGGAGGCCCAGGTGGGTGAATCACTTGAAGTCAGTCAGGAGTTTGAGACCAGCCGTACCAACATGGTCAAACCCTGTCTCTACTAAAATACAAAATTTAGCCAGGCGTGGTGACACATGTAATCCCAGCTACTTGGGAGGCTGAGGCACAAGATTCACTTCAACCCAGGAGGCAGAGGATGCAGTGAGCTGAGATCACGCCACTGCACTCCAGCCTGGGCAACAGAGCAAGACTATGTCTCAAAAACAAAGGCGGGAGGAGAAAAGAATAAATAAAAAAAAATAAAACAGTATTTACAGAACATAATGTAAAGGTGTGCATGTGAGAGGAAGTGGTAAAACAAAAACATAGTTTTGGATTGTTTAATTTTTTTCAGTTAACCTGTGAAATAGTGATAGACTTTTAGTAATTTTAAAGAGCATGAAAATGCTAAGTAGGTTTGGAATTTATAAATTCTTCTTCGTCCATTTATACAGCAATGGATAATATTACACAGCATGTAATATTATCTCTTTACCTGAAAAAGCAACATTAAAAATAGGTCACAGCTTCTGAGGGAGAATACAAACTGTCAGGAGTACTGCCAGCACAGTAGGAGTTCAGGAAATGATGATGATAATGAGACCCATGACTGCTGAGAATTGGAAGAGGAGGCATCAATTCTCATTCTAACCCTAAAAATCACCCATTGTCTATGAGGCCTTGGGTGAGTCACTTAAGCTTAGTGATTTAACAGCAATATTGAATTTACCTTCCTCACTATGGATTATAAGATTAAGTAGAGCAAACACGAAATGTGCATGCAAAACCTATTCTTTCACTCATGATCCTAGTCTCTGTAACTGCCTTATGTTTTATTTCCTCTAGACAAGTTAAATATTTATATAAATTAGAAAGGCTAAGAGATCAATTATAAAAATATAGGAATCTTTCAGAAAGAGTTTATTTTATAAGGGAAACAAGATTGTGATATGCTCCACCCTGTACCTCTCCACACACTACATAATAGCCACTCCTTAAACCCCAGACTTGGGCTGGACATTTTCTTGACTCATAGCATAAAAAAATATATCATTACTGAAGTAGCCTTATAAAGTTATAGAAATGGCTAGCTATTTTCAAGTAATCATATAAAAACTCAGAAAAATTTATAACTAGAATAACTCTCCTTTATGTTTCAATTACTTAGAATTCAGTAACAAGCATCATCAAAATATACATATTGCCTCATATATTTATATATAAATAAAATACCATCATCAAGGCAGCAGGAAATAGAGGGAGCAGGGAGTAGAAATGAGACAAGGACAGGATGTTGCTGTTTTAGCAGAACATTTGACAATGTATTTACTTTTTACACAACTAAACTAAATGTTTGTATAATTAACTTTCTTATTCTCCCTTTCTGCTTTTTCTTTTCTTACCATCCTTTCCTCCCTCCATCCTTTCCTGCTTTCTTTCCCTCCTTCTCTCCTACTCTTTTTTATTAATCCTTTCTTCCAACCAACATTGGTTTCTGGCTGAGACAACAGTTTCAACAAGAAATAAAAACTGCATTACTCAGGAAGGAACTCATAAACTTCCCCTCCCCCAAATGCCATTAGAGACTTCCTGAATAAATGAGAAATGCATTAATTAATTTTAAAACAAGAGAGTGCTCGCATAAGTAACAAAAACAGATTCCGGTCTACATTATGATTAAAATCAACTTGAATAATAAAAATCAGATATAAATAAGATCTATTAGGACATCTGACACATCTATGACGAGTGAAGTTTGATCTCAACAATGTGTAGGCTTTTTCAGTACACTGTCAAACAATCAGAAATAGGACTTCTACCACTTCTCTTTAAAAAGTTCCATAGCATAATGGATTTCATTAATATGAAATTTCTTGTAAATACAGCTATGACTGACATTATTTCATTCAAAATCATTTCATTATTCACGGTCATACTAGTTAGTGGAATGGCTGAATAAAATAATGCACATGTATGTATAATTTTAAATATATAATTATCTTTAATTTTATATAATAATTATATATTTAACACAAAGGCTCAAATTTTGCATTTCACATAAAAACACTATGTATATCCACATACATTCTTGCTCTGAGGCTTAATCTCTGCATTAATTTTTTAACAACGGTTACATAAAAATTCCTTCTACAAATTATATTTTAGTTATAGCTGATAAACCTGTAGCCTTTTGACTCATATTTACAGGACAAATAGAAAAAGAGGTTTAAAATTGTTATTTGCTTTAGTTTTCTGTTTGTTTTGCATGACAGTTTATGGGCAAGCCAGTAATTTGTATACTAAGCTTCTACATTAAGATGGCTCTCAACAACTGATTTGGTCATTATAGAGATAATAAATACCATTCAAGATGATAATTTAAATAAAAGTGTGTTGACTTAAGAGATAAGCTTAGGTAAAATCTGATTTCTCTTCTGTTTCAATGACTCCTAACATAGTATAGCCACTGAAAGGAACTTAATGTTTGTCAGGAGCCATTGAACTTTATAGTGTGCATCTGGGTAGTGATACAGTGCAGATGTGGCAGTAGAATACCACAGTAAAACTACTTTAAGTTTCGTCTGGTTAATAACAGTACTTCACTGAAGATTGCTTTTGTAATTTCTGACTTATTTTTGACCAAATAAAATTTGTTTGCCATTTTAAAGAATTTTTATTTTCTTATAAAACAAAGTCTTCCACTTCTACGATATAATAAAGTGAAGACTTTAGAGAAAAATAAATTTAATTTTTCTAATAAAAAATCACTAATACAAAACATTATCAATAAGTCACAAAACAACGAACATCTGCATGAACCAAATTTTAAAAATCGGTATCTTTGGAAATAAGGAACATTTATAAATGTTCCTAAATGTGATTTGTAGTTTATGTAACTCATTTTGGCTGTTTTTCGTGGAAAATCATTTTTAGGGACTGCTCAGGTATTAGCCCTTGCAAATTCTGGTTAAATGTAAGAAATTATAGAAACTAAATGAGTTCTTAGTGGCATTATCAAAATATTTCTCCAACTTCTTTGGCAACTTGTGCGTTTTCCTTATATGTCTTCCACATGCCTCATCTTTGCCTGACCCTGCCAAATTCTCTTCACATTCTAATTAGCTTTGGCTTCTATGTTGTTGCCCTGGTCTACTATTAGTCAGTTTATTATTAACACAATAATATATGTTAATTGTACAAATATCACAAAACACATGGAACCAGTAAGAAAATAAAAATCAAATATAACAATTGCTGTTAACATTTTATGTAAACCTTTTAGATAAAAATGAGATCAATGTACAATCTGTATCAGTTTGCAATGTGATTTTTCACTTAAAATCTATTCTAAATATCTTCTAGTTCTCTAAGTCTCCACATTTTTGGTATTTTTCTCTTTTTCTCAAAAAGTATTTCCAAGTCTTTATTGCTTTACTATTCCAGAAAAGAGGTCAGCAAACTTTTCTGAAAATGAGCAGATAGTAAATATATTAGGCTCTGCAGGCCTTGTAGTCTCTCCTGCAGCCATTTAGATCTGACATTATAGTGCAAAAGCAGCCAAAGACATACATCAGGAATGGGCATGGCTATGTTTCAAATAAAACTTTACTTACAAAAATTGTCAGGAGTTTGCTGGCCCATATTCTAGACAGTTGCTTATAAAGAGATACTGCATATCATAATTACTATCACCCTTACAGAAAATTTCATTTATTATCTTTATATATTATCTTTATATAGCGACCTTTTCCTACAGATTTAGCCCAACACATAATATCAGGGACTATGTTCATTTCCAGTGTAACTGCAAATGTGACTCTTCAAAAGCAGTTAAAAATTCTCCATGTTTTATGGATACAAGAAAGACTTCCTCAGCTCAGTCTGTATCTTAGAAACCTATATTTCATTAACAAAGTAAGAAGGATTCTCTTCCCTCTACCCTTTACCCAAGAAAAGTTGAAGTTAAATGAGAAGTAACTTTCGGACACAGGCAATTTTAGTCCCTGTTTCAAATCCATGAAAGAGAAATTGACAATGAAGGAGTTATGATTAGCAGGAAACCTACAAGTTTATATGCAAGCATATCCATGCTCTGCTCCTTCCACACTTTGACAATGAAAGAGGTCTTTCCCCTTCTAGGGCCCTTTATTTACTTTTACTATGGATCCTATTCCCTACTGCCTTTTCATTATGGCTCAGAAGCTCTCTCTGTTTATTACTCTCTCTCATCCTCTCCTATGTCTCTCATTGCTTGCTTGCTGCCACCAGCATTTAAATTTACGTAGCATTTTAGTCTGGCTTTAGTTCCTCCTAAAATCTCAACTGTTCCCTACTCTTGTTTTTCACAGCCAAGTTTCATGAAATAATTGTGTATCTTTCTCTATTCTCATTTATTCCTTACTGTAATCAGGTTTTGCCCCCATTGAACGACTGAAATTGACTAAAGTTATCAGTGAAATCCTTATTGTTAAATCCAAACATCATCTTCATCCCTCGTCTTGCTTAAAAGGCAGCATGATGTATTAGTTAAGAGCACAAATTCTATTGTCAAGTTGCATGAGTTCAAATCCTGATTCACTTATTAGCTATGCATTTTCTTGGGCAACTCACTTAATTTCTCTATACCTCATTTTCTCATTATTATATACTAATTCTGCAGGTATCTAGCCCAAAGGATTGCTGTGCAAGTTAAATTAATACATGCAAAACCACTTGGTCCATAATAAGCACTATTAAAAAAGCTATATATAACTTTTGTGATAACACAGTCTCTAGGTTTTTCTCTTACCTCTGTGATTCATGCTTCCTAATCTCACTTTCATGTTCCTCTTCCTTCATACTCTGGTACTCCTTAATGTGGATATAAACAGCCTTTATGGCCTAGCCCCTATTTAACTCTGACAATGTTAATTGATGTTTGTGTCTTCTGTACTTTAAAGATGTTTTTCCATTGTCTTCTCATTTTCATGACTTTCAACAAAAAGTTTGCTGAAATCTTTATCATGCTTCCTCAACACACAACGTGACTTTTCTAAAGGCTGCTTTTAAGATTTTCTCTTTGCCACTGGTTTTGAACAATTTGATTATCACATGCATTGGTGTATTTTTCTTCATGTTTTTGTACTTGGGTTCTTTTACTGTCTTGGGTTTCTAAGTTTGTACTTTGTCTCAAATTTGAAAGACTTTCGGCAGTGATTTCTGTAAGTATTTTTTCTGTCCTCCTTGTTTCTCTCCTCTCCTTTGGGTGAGTCTAATTCTAAATACATTAGGCTTTTTGAAGACACCCCAGAGCTCACTACAGCTCTGCTCTCCTCCTACTTCTTTTAAGTCTTTTTTTTCTCTACTCTATATTTCATTTTGGACAGTTTCTATTGCTATGTCTTCAAGTTTGCTTATCTTTGCTTCTGCAATGTCTAACCTGCCATTAATCCCATCCAGTGTATTTTCCATCTCTAGATGTTGGATTTGGTTCTTTCTTGATATTCCGTATTTCTACCTAACATGTTCCATTTTTCCTCTAATTTTTTGAATATATGGAACATCGTAACAATTGTTTTAAAGTATTTTCTAGTTCTAAAATCTATGTCAGTTACAAACTGGTTTTGATTCATCTTTCTCCTCATTATGGATCATATTTTCCTGCTTCTGTGCATCATCTGATAATGTCTGATTGAAATCCAGCCATTATGAATTTTATTTTGTTGGGTGCTGGATATTTTCTTGTTTCTATATATATATATATATATATATATATATATATATATATACACACATATATATATTGTTGAACTTTGTTCTGGGACATGGCCAAATTACTTGGAAATTGTTTGAACCTTTTGGTTCCTGCTTTTAAGATATTAGGTGGGATTCAAGAAGCATGGAGTAAGTATCCACGCAGCAAGGCCCTTCCAAGTATGCTATCTAATATCCTGTGAATTATGAGGTTTTGCATTCCTTATGCCATGTACTGTTACAGTACCCTGTACTTTCACTAAATAAAAGCACCTCTCATACTTCATTGAAATTGCTTAACTGGTTGTGTTCTCTAAATATAGCTTTTCCTCCATACTGTTGCTGTATGTCTTAGTCAGTCTGGGCAGCTATCACAAATTATCAAAAACTGGGTGGCTTAAACAATAGACACTTATTTTTGTCAGTTCTGAGAGCTATGAAGTCCAAGATCAAGGTGCTGGCAGATCTGGTGTCTGGTGAGGGCATACTTCCTGGTTTGCAGATGGCTATCTTCCTATTATATCCTCATATGACAGAGAACAGAGAGAGATATTTTATATTCTTAACACCTGATGCAGTCCTGGCACGGTAGGTGCTATTTGAATAAATATGAATATTAAAAGATGAATGTTGGTGAAATATAAAAATTTGCAAGTCTAAACCAAAGCTGTGTCATCAGCACCTTACAATGAACTATCCTCTTTATAACTCACATGACTTGTTGAAACACAGTGGTATTCTTTTATTCTTTAGGAAATCAGAACAACCTGCATGTTTAAATACAGCTTGGTTCAACTTGGATTTTGTTTTCTATCTCTTCTAACATGTCTTTTACTTTCTTTGCTACCTCTTTGACATAAAGCTCCAGGACAAACTAATGGCCAAAGCAAAAAGATTATACAGAAGAGTGGTACTATATATATTTACTATGGCTTGTCAGAATAGAACATCTGATCTCTTAAACAGTATCATGATGACTAGAATTATCAGAGGAAGATCTAAGAAATATCAGCCTCAGTATGCTTAGGAAGATATTTTTAAAAATTATTTATAATATTATAAGAAACAAATAATGGAAATGAACTGCAAACTAGTAGCAGGTGTCTACCTTAAATTATGTGAGTTACTTAACTTTATAATTAATTTTCCTTCCTATAAAAATATCACTAAACCACATTTATAAAATGTGTCCTTCATTTTAATACATATTACTATAATAATAATTTGATCTTGTATATATTTAAGCCATTTTTATTCAATAAAAATGTTAGATAAAGCAACTGTCGAAATCTTAAACATTAAACAAAAAAAAGCTGTAAACAGTTGATTTCACAAAATATAATCTATTCTGATAGAGTATTACATAAGGTATCAGATGTCTAGTTTTATTTGTCCATAAATAACCTAAAATTATTAAATAAACTTTTAATTTACATATTAAGAAAGCAAAACTATACTGAATATATAATTTCACTCAATTATTTTGTGATTTCAAAATATATATTATCCTCACAATCAATAACTGAAAAATATGAGTTTCCCCAGAAAAATAAACTTTAACATAAACTATATTAAATAACAGAAAATAACAGAATATGAAGTAAGCCATTTACTATGTGCCATGGTTAATTGTATAACACTTCTTACTTGGTTAGGAAAAAAAGAGTCATGCTGCTAGATTATCATGTCATTTCCAATTTCACAAACGGGATTGTGTTAAAATTTCAAGAGTATGGGTAACTTTCCCCGGTCTTAAAATATCAAGTCCTTCAAATTAACAATCAGAATTTAAAAAAATTTTTTTTTAAATTTCACTGCATTGCTCTCTACTTAGATAGAAACAGTGCTGTAGTTATAAACTCTGTACTCCCAAAGGATTGCAGGGAAAAAAAAAGGTAGTCAGAGCTTAAGCTTTTCATGTCAAAACAAAGAAAAATAATCTTTGGAAGAAGCTCAGAATGTGTCTGCAGAGAAAGTGAGTTAGTAATGCACGTGGCAGAAGTATTATTTTAGACAGATATGGATAGAAAGCCACCTCAGTGCATATTTTCCTACCTCTACTCTCTCCTACCCCTTATTCTTTTCAGACTCCATCCAGAGAGAAGCAGCTTTGGAGCATCTGAGAATATTCTTAGATTTTGTAAAGGTGCATTTTAACAGACGTAATTACGAAACTATGTTTCAAGTCTAGTTTTCCTTAAGTATTCCAATTCATAACAATATTTTCCCAGTTTTATTTAAGTATAATTGACAATAAAATTGTATATATTTAAGGTATACATGTGATGTTTTGATACACATACACATTGTGGTGAGAACATTTAAGACCTACTCTCTTAGCAAATTTCAAGAATACAATACAGAATTATTAATTATAGTCATGTTTAAGCATAAGACTATTAAGTATCACTAAAATAGCTACAGAACTTAAGAAAAAAGTGCTCATGTCCTACTGCTGCTGACTTTAACACCAACCTATGATCAAAAGAGTTTCTCCTAGTACCAGAAATCTTTCCCTACAATTAACATTTTCAGAAATTAGTTTTCTCATTTACTTGCTTGAATAAATAAATGTCTGAAAAACTAGAGTAAACTATCACAAAAAATAATGGAATTCCCTGATAAATCCTTCCCCAAGAATTTTTTCTTTCTTGTTTTATTATGGCAATATCCTATGATACTGAACAAGAAAAATAATAGCCAAAGAGAGTGAGAATAGAAAAAGAAAACAAAATTTTTGCTAATGGTCTTTTAAAACTTGGAAAACAACAATGAGCTTATCTCTAAAATGTGGTATTAAGTATCTTTAAAAATTGTGTCTTATTCATGGAAGAGACAGCAATGCAGTGTCTGAAAAATACATAGTCTGTGCTTTTGCATTTATTAACCTTAAAAAATAATGCTATTTAATGACTTCTAATCCAAATCAGTAGCCTCAGGTTATATGTACCACAAACAAATATTGTTTGTTAGAAGTAAGCAAAACTGCCAGCTAATTCTCTTCTACTAACTACTACATGTAGACAAGCACCAAAAAAAAGACAATTTGGGGATTAAGACCAAAAGAAAAAAAAGAGCTAGAATCGCCTTTGTTTTAAATGACCCTATATTACTTAGAAAAAATCTTGAGTTGTGGCAGTGAAGAAGGCCAGAAATCGATAAAGCCCCACAGAGTAGAATTGCATCAAGATAGCAATTGTATACTGTAAATGCCTCTCATTCATCAAAATCTGCTGAAATTAAAGATTCATTTTTAAGGTCTTGAAAACTCACTAAAGCAATGTCACAACTTTAAAAAAAATCACATAAAACATGAAGGCAGCCTTAAACATGTTTTGCTCTTGTCACCCAGGCTGGAGTGCAAATGGCAGATGGAGTACAATGGCATGATCTTGGCTCACTGCAACCTCTAAGTCCTGGGTTCAAGCAATTCTCCTGCCTCAGCCTCCCAAGTAGCTGGGATTACAGGCATGAGCCACCCCGTCTGGCTAATTTTTTTTTTTTTTTTTTTTTTTTTTTTTTTAGTAGAGATGGGGTTTTGTCATGTTGGCCAGGCTGGTCTTGAACTCCTGACCTCAAGTAATCCACCCGCCTCAGCCTCCCAAAGTGCTAGGATTATAGGTGTGAGGCACTGTACCTAGCCAAGACCTTTATATATTCATATAGCAATAATGACTAAGCAATGTAGAAAGAAATATAATTCTAGAAACATATTTTCCATTGTTATCTTAGTTGCCTATCATAACTAAGATATACGCTCCTTCAAATCACATTAAGGGAAGGGAATATAAGAAACATTACCTTTCCTATATGCTATTTGTCATGGAAACATATAATGAGGCAAGAGTATTGCACTTTATAAGAGATAATTAAGTTGGTTCCTGATGCCAAATTATTAACACTAAAAACAACCAAGCAGAAATCAAAACAAACCATAAGAACAATTTATACAATGTAAATATGATATAAAAAAGAACCATATAATCATATCACATCTATATAAGAACAAACCAATCTATGTCCTAAGAAATTCATGAATAGAACAAAATAAAGTGTACTCTTTTTTGAAACCCTAAAGGATACCATTGTCTGCATATAAACTCCAAAGAAATTTTATTAAAAAGCAAACAGAATTTATAAGTTAATTTAACAAGGAAGAAAACCAGTATTTCCATATATGGTCAATTAATAACTGGATATTCAACTTTTAAAGGTACCATTTATCTATACCAAAAAAATCATTATTTTGTGTAGAGCTAACAAAACATGTGCATGAGCTGTGTGTTAAAAATTATAAATCACTAATTAAATAAATGAATGAAAATTCATATAAATGGAGAGATACATAGCTTTCATGAAGCAGAAGACTCAGTATTGTTACTATTTGAATTCTTTTTGAGGTATTTATAGACTCAACACAATTCCAATATCCCAACAGGATTGTTTTGAAGAAATTAAACACTAGAAATAGAAAAGAAGTAGAATAGTCAAAACAATTTTGAAAAGAACAGCAAAGTTGAAGGTTTCACACTACCTGATTTCAAGATTTACTATAAAGCATAGCAATCAATACAACATGATAGTGGAAAAAGAACAGATCAATGGTACAGAATAGAGAATCCACACATATATGGTGATTTTCAACAAAGATGCAAGTACAATCCGAAGGAGAAATGAGAGTCTTTTCAATAAACAGTGCTGGAACTGGATATCCATATGCCAAAATAGAAAACAAAACAAGAAAATCCTAATCCAAACTCTGGACCATATACAAATCTCAAAGTAGACCATAGAACAAAATGTAAAAACAAATTATCAAGGTTCTAGAGAATACACAGGAAAAAATATCTGTGATTTGGTTTAGACAAGAATTCCTTAGATACACCACCAAAAGAGAAATATTGATAAATGAAACTTCATCAAAAGTAAAAACTACTCTTTAAAAGACACTATAATTACAACAGTATAGTACTAGCATAAGGACAGACATGTAGACTAATGGAACAGAATACAGAGCCCAGAAATAAGCACATTCACAGTGAACTGATCTTCATCAAGGGTGTCAAGCATATACAATAGGGAAAGAACAGTCTTCTATAAATGGTGCTGGGGAAACAGAAAAGAATGAAATTAAACCCTTATCTTACACCAAACACAAAAATCAAATCAAAAATGGATTAAAGAATAAACATAATACCAAAAATCATAAAACTGCTAGAGAAAACATGAGGAAAAGCTTTGCGGCATTGCTTAGCAATGATTTCACAGAAATGACATAAAAAACACAGGCAACAAAAGCAAAAATAAATGAGACTATATCAAACAGCACAGGAGACAATCAATGAGTGTAAAGGCAATCCATGGAATTGAAGAAAATATTTACAAACCATATATCTAATATCTAATAATGGGTTCATCTCCAAAATATGTAAGGAACCCCTACAATTCAACAGCAAAATAAAAACACAAACAAAATGAATGACCCAATTAAAACTGGGCTAAGAAATTGAACAGACATTTCTCCAAAGAAGATATACAAATGGGCAACAGATGTGTGAAAAAAAGACATTAACATCACTAATCAGGAAAATACAAATCAATGCCACAATGAGCTATCACCTCACTCTTGTCAGGATGGCTTTTTTTTTTAAAAGCAAAAATGTTAATGAGGATGGGGAGAAACTGGAACCCTTGTACAAGAGAATGGAGAAAGGGAAGAAAGGAAGGAGGAAGAACATGTTTGCCTTGAGAATGCCTGCCTGAAATGGCTGAGTGATAAGATGCCGTAAAAGAAGCTAGAACCCAGAGCTGCCTCAGTACCTCACAGTTTTCCAGTTTCAGTTCTGTTATGAGTACTTATAATAAAACTCCTGTTGTTAAAATGGTATATTACACATTTTCATTGTCTATTCTATCCCTAACCAGTTTCAGAAGAACTTTCTCCCAGAATTGTCATCCCTAGGATTATATAACTGATCAGTCCAAAAGAAGTATCTTATCCAAAGCAGCCTACCTATCAGATTATCTCAGGACTGTGAACCAAGTTGCCCATTCTCATACAGACAGTGGTTGATGTTTTAGCTAAAAATTCATGCAGAGTTAGTCTTGTAGTCAGTATCTTAGGCAAAGTTCCACGCAAAATAAAGTTATGAAGTATCAGAAATCAAGAGAAAACTGTATTAAAGAATGGGTCAGGCATTTACAAGTTTTGGTATTCAAAAGCTCTCTCCTAGTTTCCTGCTCCTTCTAACACCAAACATCACCTTACCAGATCCTTTCACTTCAAGCAAATAAGTTCTAAAAACTGCTTGCCAGCTGCTGCCAAAGAAGTACAACTTTACATCTTTTCACTTTTGTGTTCCCTGTCCACTTAACATTTCAAAAGCAATACCATGGCCTTGCAAAGAACCAATTCCTATGATTCCCACCCCCACCCCATTGAAGTATACTTTACAAGAGGATAAAGCATTTATGCATAGTTTTCTGTGTATTTCTTCCTCTCAACATTCCTTTCCATATGTGATGCTTAATAAATAATTCATTGTAACAGAAGTAATTTATTAAGTTCTTCTGCTTCTTCTAGAAATATATTTCTAAATCAAAAATTGGGACTGTTTTTCTGAAACAGTCCAATAACAGAGCACAATATCTGAAATGAACCTGTCTTTAAAAAATCTAGACAAAGTCACTTAGCCAGAAGTGAATGCCTATGAGTTATCTTGTGATAGCAACTGTTTTAAAATGGTTTTTAAAAGCATAATTTTAAACATGAGAACATAAAAAAGTTTTAAAGCTGTAACAAATTCAATTCCTCACATATTTAAATATAAAACTATTGGCCTCAACTTTTTAAGATCAAAAGATAAGTTTTCAAAGTTCCCACAAAGATTTTTATGAAGTGCCAAAATATACAAATACTACAGGTGTAGTTTTTCTAGTATTTTAAAAGTGTTTTCCTGTCCTATAATATAAATCTATCCTTAACCACAAGTTTGTCTGTGTTCCCATGACACTGTATACGTACTTTCATTATAGAATTATGAAGTCATATTATATGATCATAAGCTCATCAAGAAAGAACCAACTATATCTTTTATTTTTGGAGTTCTCAGAAGAAAAATAATGTTTATTTCAGAGTAGACACCATAAAAGAAAATGATGAGTGAAAGAAATACACATTTCATTGGAAATATTAGTAAAATGATTAAACAAGTTTAGTCTACTGAGCCTTAAATTTATAGTTTCTCACATGTTCAGAAAGGAAATGTTTCTAGTCATATTTCCTCCTTAATCTGGCTAAAATGGAGACCTCAACTGAAAACTCTACTTTCATTCTTAAAAAATATTCAATTCAGAATAATGCTTTCATTTTATCAATCACTTAGTAGAAAGAACTCAAAGGGCAAAATATCAGACACAGGGAAGACCATGATTAAGGAAAATTCCTTGATCACTTAATACATGTGTACAACAACTGGTAATAATTTCAGCATAAAACTTTTGAATTATTTATTTGTTAAAGACAAGTAGAAATAATATATCTTTATTCAACCCATTAATCAATTTAGATTCTGATGAATAGCTGTATAAACAACAGCTTTTATAATGTTAGCACAGTACGCACATAAGGTTCGTGATATGGTTTGGCTGGGTGCCCACCTAAATCTCATCTTGAATTGTACTCTCATAATTCCCACATGCTGTGGGAGGGACCTGGTGGGAGATAATTGAATCATGGGGGCAGTTTCCCCCATACTGTTCTTGTGGTAGTAAATAAGTCTTACAAGATCTGATGGTTTTATCAGGGGTTTCCGCTTTTGTGTCTTTCTTATTCTCTCTTTGCCTGCTGCCATCCATGTAAGACCAGACTTGCTCCTCCTTGCCTTCTGCCATGATTGTGAGGCTTCCAAAGCCTGTAAGTCCAATTAAACCTCTGTCTTTTGTAAATTGCCTAGTCTCGGGTATGTCTTTATCAGCAGTGTGAAAACTGACTAATACAGTAAATTGGTACCAGTAGAGTGGGGAGCTGCTGAAAAGATACCCAAAATGTGGAAGCGACTTTGGAACTGGGTAACAGGCAGAGGGTGGGAAGAGTTTGGAGGGCTCAGAAGAAGACAGGAAAATGTGGGAAACTTTGCAACTTCCTAGAGACTTGCTGAATGGCTTTGACAAAATGCTTATAGTGATGTGAACAATAAGGTCCAGGCTGAGGTGGTCTCATATGGAGATGAGGAATTTCTTGGGAACTGGAGCAAAGGTGACTATTGTAACAATAATTTTAGCAAAGAGACTGGTGGCTTTTTGCCCTTGCCCTAGAGATTCATGAAACATTGAACTTGAGAGAGATGATTTAGCATATTTAGCAGAAGAAATTTCTAAGCAGCAAAGCATTCTAGAGATGACTTGGGTGTTGTTAAAAGCATTCAGTTTTAAAAGAGAAACAGAGCATAAACATTTGAAGATTTTGCAGCCTGATGATGCAATAGAAAAGAAAATCATATTTTCTGACGAGATATTCAAGCTGGCTGCAGAAATCTGCATATATAATGAGGAGCTGTGGCTGAAAGGGACTAATGTAGAGCTCAGGCCATGGCTTCAGAGGGTACACACCCAAAGCCTTGGCAGCTTCCATGATGCTGTGCCTGCGGGTGCACAGAAGTCAAGAAGTGAGGTTTGGGAGCCTCCACCTAGATTTCAGAAGATATATGGAAATGCCTGAATGCCCAGGCAGAGGTTTGCTGCAAAGGCAGGGCTCTCATGGAGAACCTCAGCTAGGGCACTGCAGAAGGGAAATGTGGGGTCAGAGCCCCCACACATAGTTCCTACTGGGTTACCACTACTGGAGCTGTGAGAACACCACCATCCTCCAGATCCTAGAATGGCAGATCCAGCCACAATTTGCACCGAACACCTGGAAAAGCTGCAGATACTCAAGTCCAGCAGGAGGTAGGCTGTACCTTGCAAAGCCACAGGGGCAGAGCTTCCTAAGATCATGGGAACCCACCTCTTGCATCAGTGTGACCTGGATGTGAGACATGGAGTCAAAGGAGATCATTTTGGAGTTTTAAGATTTGACTGTCCAGCTGAATTTCAGACTTGTGTGGGGCTGTAAGCCCCTTTGTTTCACCGAATGTCACACATTCGGAATGACTGTATTTACCCAATGTCTGTACTTCCTGTATCTAGGAAATAACTAGCTTGCTTTTGATTTTACAAACTCACAGGAGGAAGGGACTTGCCTTGTCTCAGAGATTCTGGACTGTGGACTTTTGAGTTAATGCTAAAATTAGTTAAGACTTTCAGGGACTGTTGGGAAGGCATAATTGGTTTTGAAATGTGAAGATAGTAGATTTGGAAGGGGACAGGGGCAGAATGATATGGTTTGGCTGTGACCCCACTCAAATCTCATCTCAAATGTACTCCCATAATTCCCACGTGTTGTGGGAGAGACCTGGTGGGAGATAATTGAATCATGGGGGCGGTTTCCCCCATACTGTTCTCGTGGTAGTGAATAAACCTCATAAGATCTAATGGCTTCATCAGGGGTTTTCACTTTTGCATCTTCCTCATTCTCTCTTTGCCTGGTGCCATCCATGTAAGATGAGACTTGCTCCTCCTTGCCTTCTGCCATGATTGAGGCTTCCCCAGCCATGTGAAACTGTAAGTCCAATTAAACCTCTTTCTTTTGTAAATTTCCCAGTCTCGGGTATGTCTTTATCAGCAGTGTGAAAGCTGACTAATATAGTTTGAATTATAAATTGAATCCTTGTGAGAGTTAGATAACATTACTGTGTCCCATAGTTTATTCCAAAAATGTATGCTGTTATTCAGAAGGAAGAATACATGAAATAATATAGCTGTCTTTGTACAATTATCACTACTATTATAAAAAGAATATAAATTTTTTACAAAGTGAGCCATTCACATATGTATATTTTTAATACAACTATTTAAAATGTTCCCTTTGTACATATATGACAGAAGTTTTCTCTGTAAGTAACAGACCAAAATTTGAAGTTCAGTATTTGTCTTGTGTAAATGATCATGAGATCTACTTGTAGGATAGTCTATGTTAGAAATATAAACATATGTGTAAAAATACCATAAACAAAGGTATGTGGAAAATTTTTGTGAATGGTAGAGAACAATGGAAGGAAGGGAGAGAGGAAGGGAAGCTGTTTGGATTTCTTGAGTGGAGATCTTTCAATGTCTTGCCAAAATATCAAAGTCTTCTAAAGACCCCTGGATTGGAGAGGACTGGGTGAAGGTTCCATTTGAACATTACGTATTTAGGTTTTAGAGCAGAAGAAAGGAAGGTCAGAAGGGGCAGCAAGCATCTTTAATCATATCTAATGAATTTTCTGAATGGTTATATTTTAAAATTTTCATTTTATTTTAAATTATATACAGTAAAATTCACTTTTGTTGTATACATTTCTATGAGTCCTGACAAAAGCACAGTGTAACCATCAATCAAGACATAAAACAGTTCTACCACTGAAAAATTCCCTTGTACTGACCCTTTACATCATGAGTCTTATTCCAACATAACCTTTAAGCTTAGTAATTCTTGGATTAATGAATCAGTTTAACAAAAGTAGGGAATGGGGAATTAACTACTTTTCGGTAGGGTTTAAAAAATAATATACACGAGTATGTATTCCTATCAGCATGTATATATGCATAAATACTCCATTTCTTCATATTACAAAGCAAAATAAAATAGGGAATCAGACTAGCGATTTTCCCTAAACATCTAATGCTCTCCTGTGCTGAGCTTCCACTGCTGGTATCATCAAGCCAAATCTATGTCATTCCACAGAAATAAATCAACTATATCCTCTTGAGAAATCCACAAACAACTAAACTCAATCTCTAACTATATAAGCAGCAACAAATACAGTAATAATTTAAAAGGCATACCAGACTGCTTTTTGCTGGCACTTTTTTTTTTTTTAAATCTTCTCACAGGTAGAGAGAGCAACAGCTGTTGGTGAATAGTTCTAGTCACAAGAGAATTTCTTTAGCATAGTTTGATATCATAGCTTAAATTCAAAGTGACACTAAATTAAAGCTTGTTATGGTAATAATCATGATAGTGTAAAGTGGTTTTGAAAAACCTAC